ATGTTCATAGCACTCTTTGGAAGAGAATAAAATTAATTTTTCCTTTGTTGCAATACTTTTGACCCATACTGTAGTTTCCGATCTCGAGTAACAGCGTGATGATGGCCTTCGAATGACGTGTAGCTTTCAGGTCGTGATTCTAAGATGCATTCAGAGGGTACGGACGGAGGAGCTGACGCGAACGTCCAGGGAGCGCAGAAGTTGTCAACCTTACTCTTGATTCACCTGCTTTCAAACCCGAAATTCATTACGGTATCGGAGCGAGAGGGTGCAAGAACACGACTCTGTCGTACGTCGTACTCTCTGGAGTACACGAAAAATAGCGCTAGGGGCAAACGGGAATTTTATGAATAGGGGTACGCAGTCCTTCAAAGATGTCTTCACTTTATATCGCTTTCGATGTCATGGGAAATATATAAAAAAAGAAAAAAGGAAAAAAAAAACTATGCGAATCATGTGAAGAGGTGACGGCGATTATGTAGAAGCACTGGGCATCCAGCTTCCTTCAGTTCCTGGACGGTGTCGGTCCGTTCACCCAGTCGACAATCTGCTTGTCGTGCCAAATATACGCTCCCTTTGGCTCTTCCACGTTCGGAGGCAGAAGGGCCGCATACACCGACGAAACGGCACCTTGACACAAGAGGGAAAGCTTGATGATTCAAAGAGCAATCACGAAACCGCGAGACCAACTCGCGAATCGTTGGATCTCTCTCGCAAAATGACACGATGGCCTTCGACCGGTTTCATCTCTCTCGACCAGGAAACATTGGCCCGTTCCTAAGTGCGAAAATTTCCTGCACCAACCCATTTACTTAACCTTTTCATCCTTCACGTCGAGCAACGATAAACCGCGCGTTACGGAGTGTGGCACAGGTCACGCCATTCACATTGAGTTCGGTCACGTGTACGACACAGGACGGAGAGCCTAAAGAGCCTGCGAGATCCACGTGTCTCCCTACCTTTAATGTTTCAGATTAAACCACTCTTCAAGCGCTAATAGGTGCCATACCAGATTTAGGAAAATTACGTGCACTGTCACAATATTCACCCTCAGTCATCCAATGTTGAAAAACTGCAGCATCCATTTCCAGCACCCAAATCATTATTAAAATCAAAGTTGATGACAGTTTGATCATAACTACTTCAAACTGCAGCGTTTCTACATAAATAAATAGTTTTCACAAGGTTCACTCATCACTATCATGTATGACACAAGTAAAATTTCAGAATCTTGGAAATGCATGCATGGGTGAAAGCCAGTTTTCCAGTTCACTCACTGCTTTCTGTGCTCATTGAAAGAGGGCGGCAAAGCTCAAGAACTGAAGTATTGGGAGTGCTGCAGGTCTGCGAAATTTGGTGAATGCCAAAAGAATATTCCCAAGTAACTTAATGAGGTCATGGCAGTTGTGGCAGATCTACAACCATGGTTTCTACAATTTCTTTCCTGCCTCTAAACTCAAGCCAATTCCTCTTGAAAGTTACTTGGAACTATTTCCTCAGATAAGCAAATGCACGCTTTCACCTGAAAGTAAATTCAATACTTACATCATTATATACTGAAATGATCACAGCTTTAGTAAGAAGTTTTTTGCTTCTGGATTCATACCACGATTTATGTACCAGGAGCTAATCATAACCAATGAGTTGTGATCAGCTCCTGGTATACAGAGAGTAGAAATTTGCATAACTTTGAAAACAAATACAAGCACAAAGTGACCCACATGACTAGGTCAGCCTGTAACTATGAAAAAATTACCTTCAGATGGTGAGTGCATGAGAAATTGAGCATCAGTGGCTTCAAAAGTCAATTACTTTACTAAAAAAGGGAGCATCCATGGTCTCCCCTTCACAATTCTCTTCCCAATCCATTCAAATAATAAGGGATTATCAAAGAAAAAGATGCTTTTGCATTTAGATTTAACCTTTGAATGGGTAAGCGCTGAAATATCCATTATGCCTTAAGTGGGCTTGCCAGAGTATTCTATAGGGTGTTCAAAAAGATATGCAACCCATTGGATAAAGCATATATCATTGTAACCCATTGCTTTTCTTTCTGTTTCAGTGATCATTAAGTACAAGAATGGTGTTCACAGTTCAAGAAAGAAAAGAATATTCATTGTTGAAAGTTACATTGGGAATTGAAGTTATTTACTAATTTACTAATAAACATGCATTCTCCAATGGGTTGCATTTCTTTTTGAACACCCTGTTTTATGGACTCTAAAACATCATGAGGTATGAACAATCATTCCAAAATCTCTTTTAATTATTTCTGATGTACAAGGCGTTCAAAAAAGTCATGCAACCCATGGTATAGGTATCAGTCATTTTGAGCTGATATATTGAGTTTCAAACTCATGCTGGGTACCACTGTAACTTCTGGTCCTTATGTAAATATTTACCAAAAGTTTTCTTTGCTGCAACAAGCACTTTCATCCATTTTTCTTCATTAGCTCACATGTTTACTTGAGTGTCTGTGAAGAACATAACATCCATTACTTTTTGAACACCCTGTCTTTCCTATAATAATTCAATAGATAAATGTGTGAAAATCACACATAAATGCAAGCAGCCACTCTGCCCAAAAAAATCACTCTGGGTGTACTTTGGCCTTTGGGAACTTTTGCCTATGACAGTTGAAAAAGCACATTGAGATACAAAGATGATTCCAATTCTCTAGGATATGGGAAGCTATTATTTCTGGGATTAACACCTTAACTGGGAAGTTTTTCAACAAATGCATTTTAACCTATGGGTGGTCAGATGTCAATAGGCATCTAACCCAGTTAAGGGGTTAAAGATAAACAATTCCTAGCTTACTGGAGATATTTTCACAAAATATGCACGACTCACAGGGTGATATAATCTCAACAGACTTCTGAAATTATGTAAAATTTGTTTTTCAAGCAAGTCCATCAGGGATTATTTTAAAAACAAGAATCAGATCAGGGATGTGCAACCCGCGACCCGTGGACCGCATGTAGCCCGTGGACCTACTTCTTGTGGCCAGTAATGCATAATGGGATGAGAGATGAAATAAGTTATGTTGCAGATCCAAGGCCTACCACAGCTTTGGTCATCCCTTAGTAACCAGAAATAGAGGAGTCCTTTTACTTCCTTCCCCTAATTATTCCTCATGCAGGCTGTGCTACAAATGTCCCGAGGAAGGAGGTTCTCAATGCCAAAGGCCATTTTCAGGCATTGGAATTTCCTCAGGGGATTTCCTAGGGGTAGAGATAAGGGTCATTGACCAATCAGCGTGACCTTATCCCTTCATATGCCCTCAGGGCATGAGAGGGATGGCTTTGCTTTTGCATTCCATGGCCCATGTGAAGCTATGAAATTTCCATGCAGCCCACTGCCGATAAAGGTTGCACACCCCTGAATTAGACTTTGAAAATGAATAGGGGAAAAGTCCAGTCTTGTCCCTATGAGTTTACTCTGACTGCACCAGCAAACATGGAGAAAAAAAGAAGACAGTGGAATAAAACTTTATTAATTGATACCTATTGCTTCGTCAGATATTATTTATGAAAAAGCTAATCGTATAATTTCCAACAAACTGCCAACCAAAAAGGACCTTAATTGGAAGAGATATTGGATGCTATGAAGTCACAAGGCAAATGCAATACTCCTCTTGATTCCCAGCACAGTCCCTTCACTCTCTTATCAATTTCACATTCTTTTAAGATTTTCTCATACTATGGCAAAAATACTTAAATGAAATGTATTTTGGTAGCATACCTGACTATGAACTGAGAACATTTTGAGAAAACATCTCCATTAAGAGCAGAGACATATGGGCTGGTGTTTTTTGCCATACTCCACATTACTGCCACAAGTGCATATTTGAGCTGCATTCTTTTGATGCAGCAACTGTGGAAAATGGTGAATGACTTGATGAATAAATGAAACAAAAACCTTGTTCAATGGTGAGTGGTCCCTTGTGAGATGTCATGTCAGTGTCCACGTAGCCTGGGTGGACATGATTCACAATGATATCAGGCCGTGAGTCCCGATCAAATTCCTTCTGCTGGATGCGTGTCAAGGCACTCACACCTACTTTGGAGACTCCATAGCAGCTGTTGGGCCATCCTGCTTCTCTATGCATCCCTTCCTTTGCTGTCCTGGTTATCCATATAAAATTCTTTTTAATCTCACTATCACATATTGTCATGCAGACTTTACAAGACATGCAAAGAAATAATCCTAAATCCAGACTAAGTTGTGCATGTTCCACAAAAGCTGTCCTAGATTGTGTAGGATCTCTTGAAATAACATACCAATCTGAAATATCACCCTTCAAGTCATCTGACATCAAAGAGCAGTAATGTTCATTCAAGCCCAGCACATTGAAAATCCACAAAATGGACCAAGGCTGAGACATGAGAGTAGACGACAAGTACTAAAGAGGCAACAGCCACAGTCTCAACATAGGTCAAGGGAAAATGAACATGTCTTCTCTGCAATGTCAACTTCTTAATACTTCAAGTATGAGTGGTTAGCTGGTCAGTTGACCCACTCAAATTATTATAATGTAGTTGGAGATGCATGCAGATAAACCACAACAAGAGAGCAAGCCAGTGGGAGCTTGACTAATCACATCCTATGCAGCACGAGCATATCCCAAAGTTGTCCCAGAGATATTCCTTTGGGACAAGTAAGAGGTCCCTGGTATTACTTGTGGAGACATCTCAGGAATATCAAAATGTGAAGTCAGAGACTTGCCATCAATGTCCCTTTCTTTCCGAAATTGATTAACTTCCTGCTGTGCAAGACAACCCTTAAAGTTAATTGCTCTATGATAGGGGTTGCGAACGTATGGCTCAAGAGCTGAAAAGTTTGGCTCATTGAGTCACGGCTGAAAATCATGGTTGTTCCACATTTTTCTCATGTATTAAAGAAGTCATAAGTCTGTTGCCAACTTCAGGAAAATTTCTGTTCTGAAAATCTTTCATTTACAAGCACTTAGCTTAATCTTAATATGGCTCACCTGGCCAAAAAGGTTCCCAATCCCTGCTCCTATGATCACTATGAACACCAGGGATGCACATCATACAGCCTGCAAGTACCCTGCCTGCAGCTCCCCTGCCTAGTGACATTGTAATTGCTACTATGGCTTCTGTCCTGTGGGCCACAATTATGGTCAGCCAGACAAGCAGGAGATGGATGGTCTGGTGGCCATTTGGCTCATGGTATGTTGGTAAAAATCTCAATACCCCCACAGTCTTTGGAGCAGTGCACCCCTGCTCTACATTATGGAATGAGAGAGAACCTTTTTCTCCCCTCCAGTACTACAACATGAAAGAGACTCGGGAAAAACCAATTCAATGTTGTATTCCTGAATAAAAATGAAACTCATACAACCAACTCAATAATCTATGAGACCACCATTTCCAAGACAAACTGCCTCTAGGCAATGTGGGTAGCACTCAAATAGTTCTCAAAACAAATCTGTGTGGTTTTCCATGCACTTGGAAAAAGTTTCTTCAGAGGACTTCATGGTCTTGCAAAATGAAATAGATTTAATTATAGCAATCACTCTCTGCTTCTCACAGTTGTATGTACCAGCCATTTTGATAAATTTAACTGTAAATTATCAGAAACTGTTCCAAATGAATCAGGCTATCAGATCTTACCCAACATAAGTTAACAGCTAAGACGTTCTGGGTTGAAGGGGGGGAGAAAAAGGTTTTGTCCCACCCTGTACTCCATTTCTGGACATACAGACCCAGTATGTTGGTGCATTTAAAAAAACTGATGGCAAGAATGCTTAGCTTCATTAGCATGAGTTCAAGTTGGAAATGCAAAATTAGAAATGTCATGATTGCTTCTTGCAGAAATTTGGGAAATTTATTTCCTTCCCAACTCCCTCCCTGGACATGGTGACAAAGGAGAACCTAAGACAGCAGCAGTTGTCAGCTGCACACAGTCTCCTTTGCCACTGAAAATTCAGTAAAACCACACCCCTTTTCTTAAAGTTAATCTGAAGCTGTAACTAATACATTCTTTAAAATCTTTTCTTGCTGTCTTTCTTCTTTCAGTATTTTCACAATGAAGTTTCTGGACAAAGAGACTTGCTGGGAGTCAGCACTGAATGTCTGAGGAACTGCAAAATTCATTAAATTACAATATATATCCAACTGCATTTTGGACAGAGAGACAATTGCAAGATTAAGATATTAATAAGATTACCAGAGATGGCTGTCACAAGCCAACAGCTTTCAACCCAATTGCAGAAAGTTTTGAGAGGTGGAGTGCTTACTTGACAAACCCATCCATCAGAGCAGACAGCTTTTGAATGTCCAAGTCAGATGATGCCAATGTCTTCCTCAGCTCTCCATCAGGGACATTACGGAGGAATCCAGCTGAACTGGAGACATTGACAACCCTGGCATGAGGTCTTAGAAGAGGAAATAATGCCTTGCACACATTCAATGTCCCATAGAAGTTCACACGAATTGTGTTTTCTGCCTGTTCACCAAAAGGGGCTGTTGATGCCATCTGAAAGCAGTATGGAGCAATATGACTGCATGGAAATATGAACACAAAGTATGAATAAGCATGTAATCTGATCCTGATCTATGCATAAAATAGAGAACCAGATGCCATCAGCTGACTCTCCAAAATAAAGAAACAACTAGGATAACCTACAAGGGGCATTCAAAAAGTATTTTGAACTTTATGAATAATAGAGGTATAAGAAAAAAATAGAGAGCCTGGCAATTGTTACTCTACTTTTTCAAGAAATTCACCAACACATACTTGTACCAACATTTGGGAAGCTTGCTTTGTCCTTCAGCAAACCATTTTTTTGTTGTTGAGTGAACTGAACCCATTCATGCAAAATTGTGCTGAGTGCCAGCAAATTTAGAAATCTTCATCCCCTTCATGGCTCCAAAAGAGCCAGACCACCACTTTGATCAGATGGGGAGTATTGCCAGGAAGTTTGGAGAATATTCACTATTGCCCCTCAGGTAACCATTCTGGATGAAGAATGCCTTCTGTGTCTTCAAAGACTACTCCCATTCAATTCCCAGTAGATGGTGCTATTGTCATATTTTTGGGTGGAGGATAATCAGCATGCTTCCACTGCTTACTAAGTTTTGTCCCCTCCAGTTTGTGGAAGCAGCAGAGGAATTCAATACTTGTCTGTACCCATATTGCCTTCAAATAGTCAGTGAACAACCATTGCACTCAACATCTACAAACCTTTACCAAATGCAAATGATCATGCAAAACAGCATTGATGATATCAGGAGAGACAATGACAGTGTGGACGAGCTCCTGATGGGTGATTTGCCTATTATTTATGACTGATTGTTCAACAACTGCAATGCTTTGCAACACAAAAACATGACAGGGTTTTCCTTAAAAGCTACTCTATTGTATCGCAACTAAGTGGAGGATTCTAATCCAGATCAGTTCAGTAGAAGCTGAAATAATTGTCCCAAAATATCTTGTATAACATTCACTGACCTTGTATGCAATAGCTGCATTATTGACAAGGACATCAAGACCACCATGCTTCTCCTTGAGAAATTCACTAAAATTTTCAATGCTATGCTCATCATCAATGTCCAGCTCATGGAATCCTGGCTTCAGTCCTTCCTGAAATTGGGAAGCATTAGACTAATCATTTCAAATGGCAACAACATGAATGAAAATGTCTGCACTTATCACTTTAATTGCTTTGTTTTTCAATGGGCACTCTACACTCCAGTAATGAGCCACAACACTGGCATGCCACATATCCTCATCAGTCCTTAGCAGCATATATGTGGCTATTCGAGTTGTCCCTTGTATAGCAGATTTGAAAGTATATATATAGACAATTGGTAGGTGTGTTCTTGTACTGTGTCCATAGACTGGAAAACATCATTGTCCACATGTGGCTAAAGGGACTAAAGGCTTAAAAAGAATGCACACCATGCCAACAGTCAAGTGCATCAGAATTCGAGCAAAAATTAGCTTAAACCAAAAATAAATATTTTACATACAGTTTCTTTTCCATTATCATGAATGACATTGCAGTCAAGGAGTACTTTTTAAAACTTAAATGTAATTTGTGCTTTTTTCATCCTCATGGGTATGCCTTTTTTCTTTCATGTTTTATAAATCTCAACTTGCAGTGTGAAATTCCTAAAAAAAAGTTTTGTTATTTTAGGGCACAGTGAAATCATGTATTTGATACATCTAATTGTTGTCCTTCCCTTGCATCATCCTTCCTGCGCCAGGCTGTGTTCGGCTGACTTGAGACTAGATTGAGCTCAAAATAGCAATCGAGTAAGTTATTGTCACTGACAAAGCTGATGCCATTCTCATTCGGCAGGTTTAAACTGGCATCAGAGGAAAACTAGAAAATGACTATTGTAAGAATTTTTTAACTTTTTGCAAAGGGAAGGGGCAATGTCTGCAAAATGAGGTGTGTGGGGTAGAATTTTCAGTCGAAGTAATGAGTTGCCCAGGTGGCAATATAAACGACATGAGAGTGGGCACAACTACTGCAGCATGATGCCCTTGGGTGAGCCCCTGTCTTTTTCATGACGGTTTCATGATGGTAGAGGGTGTTTTTTTATTAACGCAACCTAAGAATCTTGGCATAACTTCCTAAATAATAAATCCAGCAAGTTGAAATTTGGCATGAACCATGACCCATGCCATGTGAAAATTTAATATAAGACCTTATATGAAATGGCCATATATTTAGCCAGTCTGACATACATATATGGGGCATATATGACCATATAGTGCAATTCATATATAAACATGTGAAACATGTATGGGGATTGCACAAGTCACAAAAAATCATATAAGAATGAAAATATATTACCCCATACATTTTCATATATTGGCTCAGACAAATGCACCATATACTGCCCATATATGCCATGTCATATGTATGGTGAGATTACCCAAAACATGTCTGTATCCTAAAAGGGTCCATAATCCATCTAATATTGCATAATCATTCATATGCAAGTCACCATATGTAACTTACAATCAATTCATTTTTATTTGTTCATAGACCACAATCAATTACTCCAAGAACTCAATTACACTGCACAAAGGAACAATATAATAAAAACAAATATCTTTTAATATGGTTAGTGTGGAAGAAAATATCTTGACTTGGCTTTGAGTATTTACAAATGTAACAAAATGATTTCCATCAGTTCTGGCTCCCTGTCAGCTTCTGGTGATAAGGCCCTAATTGCCAGAGTTACGGTGGTGCTTTGCGTCCCAGTTGTTGGTGAGGAGGGGGGGGGGGGGGCCACTGGAACTCCTTGCCCTGGGTGCCAATATGCCTAGAAATGGCCCTGCCAGGGAGTGGTGTATCATTGGGGGGGGCATGGTACAGTGCGCATGTGCCCCCCCCACTTTACAACAAAATAGAAGCATCAATAAAAAGGAATAGATGCATGAAATGCATAACAACATCCCAGAGTTCCCGTGACCACCCTCCCCCCCCCCCACCACACTTTTCTCATCTGCAATATGCATTTGCTACTTAGAGAGGGTAGGGTTCAATTAGAAATTCCAACTAGAATTTTCCAGCTGGACAAGGGCTGTATATTCAGACCAATTCCAGCTGGTAAAGAGCAGGAAAATGGTAGACACAGGTTGTTTTAAACTTGGAATTTTCCAACTGGAATGCAGCTGATTTCAATGGCTGTTTTTGGCTGGAAATTTACCCTTAAAATTTTATAAAGAGGACCCTCCAGTTGGAATACAGTTGAATTTACAGTTGAAATTAAGCTGCTTCTGTAGATGGACCTCTAGCAAGAATATCCAGCAAAAAATTATAATTCCACCAGTGGTATTGCAATTAGGAACAAATCTGGATCTGACTTTACTTTCCAACTGCTAACCTGTAGGAATGGGTCTGAATTTACAGCTGGGGGGGATTCAAAATCAAACTTTGCATTAGTTGCAGAGGCATCTGAAAGTCAACAGCCCTTGTTTGAAATAACCTCATGCAGTGGCACATTTTACAGGGAGGGGGCAGGGTGGTGTAGCTGCCCCCATCACCATTGCTTCCTTGGGACAGGGCTTGGCTCTGCTGCCCTGTCCCCCTTACTCTTCAGCCAAAATATGGTTGTAAGTAAAACATATGACTTGTCCATGGATATTCACCACATATCAGACAAATGCCTTTAGCCCATCACACTTAATATTGCAATGCAGGTAAAATATATTATATGCTATACAATTGTTAATATATGAATATATATATGGTGGTACATGGCAAATTTATAACAATACCTGGCCATATAGAATCATACACCTTGTAATATAGGGTAACTTGGGGGAATATGGACACCAAAAATGAAATCAGGTTATAGCGTCACGTCTAGGTAAAATGAAACTTTGCCAATATTCAGAAAATATTGATTGATGTCTCCTTTATTTATTCCCAACAAGATCCGTGCAGAAAAGCAAATGGGAAAAGAGTATTTGGGACCTCTTCACATGGGTCCCAAGAGGCCATTTTACCCCTATTGTTGGGGGAATATGGCCAGGCATTAGGGGGAATATGGCCCTACAAAATGAAACCTGGTCATCATGGTCCATCAAGGTTGAATTTGACTTTTACAATGTCTCTGATATCTCCTTTGCTAAATGCCAGCAAGGCGTATGCAAAAAAAACCATGGTTATGGTGCCTTTGGGTCTTTTTTGAGTAGGTCTCAAGAGGCCATATTAACCCTATAGTTGGGGGAATATGGCCACTTCTGAAAAACAACTCCAGATTGTCCAGGAACGTGTGAAATGTGCTGGAACATGCTGAG